CGGGCCGCTGAGCCCCTTCTTGGGGTCGTGTGGTCTGCCTACTGTGCAGGCGGGAGGAGGGAGGCTGGACTCCTCCTCCAGCTGGGGTGGTCTGTCTACCGCGCAGGTGGGCCTCTGGGCTCCTTCTCTGGGTCCTGTGGTCTGCCTACCGTGTAGGCGGTGGCTGGGCCCCTCCTCCACTTGGGGTGGTCTGTCTACCACACCGGCGGGCCGCTGGGCCCCTTCTCCAGGTCGTGTGATCTGCCTACCGTGCAGGCGCAGGCGGCGGCTGGGCCCCTCCTCCAGCTGGGGTGGTCTGTTCTGCCTACCGTGCAGGCGCAGGCGGCGGCTGGGCCCCTCCTCCAGCTGGGGTGGTCTGTCTACCGCACCGGTGGGCTGCTGGGCCCCTTTTCCAGGTGGCGTGGTCTGTCTACTGTGCAGTCGCAGGCCCCAAATTTTATTTTTTATGATAATTACACTTACATGACAGTATTTAAGTTCAGGATAGAAAAGCAGAGGTCTGAACATGGCCCAAGGACTTGATATCCACTTATGGGAAAAGCGTTAAGAGTGTTTTCAGTTGTAAGCAGAAATGTTGTATCATGTTAGACAGAAGTATGAATTTGCTACTGTCTTATCTGGAAATTAAGAATTGCTTAAGGAGATGAGTGTCAGTAGCCAGTTGGCACAGGTRGACTGTGTCRGTTGGCTCTGTGTAGAAATCTGGCKAGGTTACTGAACACTATTATTTAAACATTCATCTAGATGTTACTGTGAAGGTATTTTGTAGATGGGGTTAAAATCCAAATTCTGTTGACTTAAACTGGGGGAAGAATATCCAATGAAATCTGAATAGACCATGTTCATTCTGGCTTCCTTGAAAAAGAAATGCCACCTAAGGACAACAGCTTCAGTTTGTGCCCAAGAGTTTTAGCTTGTCCTTTCTGATAGTTTGCTTTGTAGATTTGGACTTGGGAAGCCAGCCCTCAACAATTGGACAAGTCAATCTCTTAACATATATTTCTTACTGGGTTCTACCCTCACTGGTTGGCCTGTGTCAAATACAGAAGTCAGYAAAATTGTAAATAGTAAAACTTAGGGGGTTGCAAATGGGATAGAGGGAGTAATAGGGAGGAAAACAAATAACAAGGAAGAGAAAAAAGAGAGCGGGAAAAAGAAAATAAGAGAAAAAAGAATAGAAATAAAAAGAGGGGAGGGAGGTGATTTGCAAACATTTCAATCTTGGGGATCTAAATAAAAATTATAATCTACATAAAATATCTTAATGCTTTGATAAAGAGTATTTATAAATGCTATTTTTTACATTTGATAATATTAAACTTTACTTACTTAACCCCATATCTGTCTCTAAACATAATATGGTCCCTGAATGTACGGTTGACATCAAGGTCTATTTGTCTGATATCAGGTGAACAACCCCGTGCTCTGTGTTTTAATTTCTGGAAAAGAAAAAGAGAAGGGAAAAAAAATGCATTTTATGAAAATCACTTGTTCAAAGTCCATGATTTATAGTAAAATGATTTTCATYTAAAAACTTCCTTTTTGTTGTTTAGGATAACAACTCCTGTGGCTTAAAAAATAAAATCAAAGCAATATAAAATGGTACACAAAAATGTTTCCTACCCTCAGTGTCCCCACTGATTCAACTCCCACTCCTTCCCTCTTCCCTCCCATTGTGTCAATACAGTTAGATTTTTAACCAGCTGGGCAACTTCCTGGAGTCGGCCTTACTAAGACTGTGTGAAAGCTCTTCTTGACTGAGCCAAGCAACCTACTGATTTCATTTCTTTCCAGCACAGTATTTTTATTTTCCTTGGAGCTAAGCACTGCCTTGCTTCTTGAGCTGCTTCATTTTCTATATACTTTTAGCTCATTCAACTCCAAATTCACTATAAATGGTACAAATCCCCTTTGGTGATGTTCCATAGAACACATATGCCACTGACTTGTCTTCCTGAAGGCAAATCCCAAGTGGGCTGCTTGGCCTCAGGGTTGCTGCCCAGGTCAGACCAGGAGCTTCCCTCTGTTTTATTTTGCCCTCATGTCTCCTGATTCCCGGCTCTCCCATTCTCACTCCCATCTTCATTTTTCTGGTCTATTCCCTTGCCCTGGAAGAACACATTCTCCAGCAGCTCCTGTGAAAGGGTGTGTAGAAACAAGAGGAAGTTTGGGAAACCCTGAATGTCTGATGAGTCTATTGTCTCAATTAAYTGTTTGCTTCAAAATCCTAAGTTGGAAAATATTTTTGCTCCAAAGGTACTGTTTCATTATCTTCTGGTCTCCCATTTTGCCAGGGGAATTCTTGTCCCTTTATAATGCAAGTTCATTTTCCTCTCTGGAAGATGGTAAAGAGCTGCTCTCTCCTTGCTCTGAAGTTTCCCCTTTTTCTACTTGATTCGAATCTATTTTTATCCATAGAGTTGGGCACTTGGTGTATCTTTTCTTAGAAACCTATAAATCTCTCAGCTCAAGAAACTGTCTTCAGTAATTCTTTYGTCAATTTACTCACTCTCCCCTCCCTCCTTCCCATTTTCTTTTTCCAGAACTCTGATTATTACAGTGTGGGATCTTCTAGGCTGTTATCAAATTTTCTTGTATGTTCTCTATTATAATTTCCCATCTATTTGCCTTTAAATTTTATTCTCTGGAACTTTTCCTCAATTGGAATTTTCTATTATTTTTCATTTCTCTTAAGTTTTTCATTTCCATTATTTTTTACACTCATAAGCTCTTTGTTGCTCTAAAATGTTCCTGTTTATAGGATCCTACACTTGTTTTATGGATTTAACATCTCCTTATTTTTCTGAAGATATTAAAAATAGTTTTCTTCTTGCTTTATCGTTTGTTTCTTACAAGTTTCTTTTTTCCATTTGCTTTCATTTGCCTTTCATGCTAGCCCCTTTCCTTAAATGAACATGCAGTACTTTGCTATCTGCTTTTATTTAAAGTGAGACACTTAAAAAAGCTGCGGGGCTTCACAAAAGTGTTTTTCACTGTAGTGATTTGGCCTGGGAGATGCACTGTGGTCTATGAAGTCAGGATCTTTGGGTTTATTTTCTTGTGCTGGCCACATTCCCCAAGGAAGGTTATTCCAACCTTGTCAGGAAGACAAGCACCTGGATGCCAATGTTTTAGGACCTGGGTTGAAGAAAAAGACTAGACTGCTCAAAATTCAGGATATTCTATTCCTTTGCTTTCATGAGAGCAGCCCACCCCAGCAATGTCTGTGTCCCAGCTGAAAGGTCCTCTGCTCCATCCTCTCCCAATAATAAACCTCCAGTCCTGGGCCAGTGCTRGAAGGAAACCTGGAAGCTCTAACTGCTTCTGAAAAGACTAAACAGCACCTCTGTTTAGCCTCATCTGCACTTCCAGAAATACCTACAGCCAGCAACTCCCAACCACTTTTTGAAGATCTCAGCTATGGTGCATGGTGCTCCTCCACTTTCCCACTACAGCCCAAGATTTAGTTTTCTTAGGTTTATTAAGTTTACTAAATGCCTGTCTGCACTCTGGTTTCCAAAAATTGGCAGCTGTTATTTCTTCTTCCATTTTCTTATGTCTTGTGGATTTGCCTTTAAAAAACTCTGCTGTCAATTTCTTGGTATTTCAAAGGGAGGGGGAGCTAAAATATGAGTATGCTTCATTTTCTATGTTTAATCCAACAGAAGATTAAAATTTATATTAACTTGTACTTATCTATGTTTAAATATAAATAAGCATCTATATACACATGCCATATTGATCCATTTACCACATACCGACAATACAGATTTCTGCTACACAGTTTAATTTAATTAAACATAGTTTAATTCCTGACTTAAAGTAGAATAGAGGCTATCTGGGTGTGTCTCAAATAATGTGTGTGTATGGTTAAGTGCTTTTGTGTTTTGAGGTAGGAACTAGAGAAGGGCAGCGTCTATATCTTTTTAAAACATGAAGAATGGGCTGCGGGTGTGGCTMCATGGTAGAGCACTTCTCTAGAATGATGAGGTCCTGGGCTGAGTCCTGGGCACCAGAAAACAGCAATTCAAAACTTGAAGAGTACCCACAGAATGTTCCTGAATTCTGAAGACAGAAGGAGACATTTGTAGTACTGTATGAAAATCATACAACCACTGAAATATTATTGTTATTTCTAATAAAAGCTGATGATATAATACAAAAATTTAGTTTCAAAATAATAATTTGTTCATATTTGATCTCAATATTTTACTTCTTTTTTTTTTTTTGAACCTCTATTTTATTTACATGTTGTGCTGAGAATTGAACTCAGCACCTCACACATGCCAGGCAACACTATACCACACTAAGCCATAACTCCAGCCCTTAAYATTTTCTTTTATAAAAAGGTAATGGGCACGCYGGGGCTGTAGCTCAGTGGCAGAGCCTTGCCTAGCATGCGTGAGGCACTGGGTTTGATCCTCAGCACCATATAAAAATAAACAAACAAAACAAAGGCATTCTGGCATCGACAATTACAAAAAAAAAAATTAAATAATGGGCAAGTACAGAGGTTTCAATTATAGTTATAGGCCTCTTCATAAAAGATGAGACACAGAAACAAAGGAAGAAAATGTTTGACTAGACATTATGAAAAATGCCTTAAAATAAAATTTAGTTGGAAGGGAGAAGACCCAAACACATTTATAATAACAGCTTCTCTCAAGGACAAGAAAATCCATCATAAAAAAGTCTCATGACAGAAGCAAAGCCCAGTTAAGCTGGTAAAAAATGACAGGTCAGGAATGTTATTTATGTCCTAAAAGGTTTACAAACTAATACACAGAATACAGTAAATCAAGCCCGTTTCTTACCTCCTGAAGAAAAGGAGGTTAACAGTTTTTACGTTTTCTCTGAGACTAGGTGGTAGAGATCCATGAATACTATAATAATACAAGAATAAACATTTTATCTTAAAAAAAATGGGAGCTAATGAACCCATAAACCTACGGCAGAAGTACAAGTGGGAGGTATTTAGATGAAAAATTAGTTGTATGGCCAATCAGATTGAACCGAGCCAGGCTAAGGCTCACATGAGCTTGGTACCCACTTGTTACCATCTATAAGGTACATTACTAAACACAAGAGAGATAAATACAAATGAGATACGTACAAGTAAAACAAACAAACAAACAAACAAACAAAAAAAAAAAAAACAAGAGGAAAAAGAGCATTGGCTCAGGAGCCAGAACAGTCTGGATTTTAAATCCTACCTCCTTGCTAACACTGGAGTAAAACATTAATTAAGTTCAGTTTCCTTATTTGTAAATATTGATGATAACAGTAAAACGTGTCTCTCAGTATTACTGGAAGAATTAAATATTGTAGTTCATATAGAGTACTTAGATAATATCCACACATAAAAGTACTTGAATACAGTCAGCTCTCCTCAAGGTAAAGGAGATACAGTTATTTATAAAATACAGTAATATGAAATTTCAAACTAAAACCAGTCATATCCAAATCTGAGGGAAGGGATCAAAAAGGGTGTTTGCAGTGTACCTTGAAATTCCATCCCTATATTTCTTCCCTTTTGGAAATGAACTCCTCTCAGGCTCCTATTCTATGAAGACTTCCCGAACCGTAATGTACCTTCTTTTACTCTTTCCTTTCAACCCAGGCAAGTTTTTTGTTTTACTACATTTAGAGTATTTAGCACATCAACTATTGCTAAACACTTCTATGCAATCATGTCTTCTCCAATAGAGAAGAACACTTCCTTGACACTGCACCTGTTTATGTTTGTGTGCTCTTCAGCACCTCAAAGTCTCATCCCAAGAAAGGATACACATGTCATCGAGCAAACTTAAAGGAATGAATGCTCAAAATATGCCAGGCTCCAAATAATTTCACCCATCTCAGAAAAATTTTAGTAGATTTAAGATAAAGTAGTTTTACTCCTGGTAAAGTTCCAGTTCATGGGGGGATGTGTCAAGTGCAATGTATACCACTTTTGAGAGAGTAAGAATGAGTCATCAGGAAAGGAAGACCTGGTTGTATAATGACACTTGGGAAACCTCAAAGTAAAACTAATGTTTATGACAACAATGAAAATTATGAGCTTAAACAGCCAAGTCATTTCTGTTTATGCTGTGGACAGTTTTTATTAAATTATGCCAGCCATGAGACAATTTTATTCTTTGCAAAAAATGAAATAAAATATAACTGAGGGCTGGGGTTGTAGCTCAGTGGTAGAGTGCTTGCCTAGCATGTGCAAGGCCCTGGGTTTGATCCTCAGCACCACATAAAAATAAATAAAATAAAGGTATTGTGTCTAACTACAACAAAAAAATAAATATTTTAAAATAAATATATATATATAAAACTGAAAACTAGAGTTCTATTATTAGCAGATACACTGGGTTAAAAAATGTTCCCTCAAAATTCATATCTATTCAGAACTTGTAAATGTGGCCTTATCTGGAAAACATCTGAAGACAGCAAGTTAAGATGAGGTCATAATGGGTTAGAGTGGACCTTAAAACCAATAACAAGTGTCTTCATCAGGACAATCAGACAGAGACACACAAAAGAAAGAAGGTCAGATGACAAAGGAAGCACAAATGAAGTGACACTGCTGCAAGCCAGGGAACCCTGAGGACTGCCGGCAAGGGAGTATTCTTCCCTGGAACCTTGAGCACCTCAACTTCAGCTTTCCATCCTCCAGAACTGTGAGAGAATGGATTTCTGTAGTTTTAAGCTACTCAGATGGTGGTACTCAGTGGTAGCCTGCCCTAGGAAATGAATACAGCATGTAAACAAAGAACATGCTGCTTTTCTTAGTTAAATATTTACTGAGCACCTACTATATGCTAGRCACACTGTAGCAAGTGCTGGGGTTACGTTTTCTGTATGTTCTTTCAAATATGTTCTATTTTGAACACTGGTTCTAAAACTATGACACTAAAAGCACACACCTAATCAACAGCCTGAAATTTGAAACTAAAATCTTGAGACATAAACTCGGCTTGTGTAAACTTCAAACAGCTGAATTTTGAAAGTCTTTTATTCACATGAAATGAGTAGCTCTTTAATTAGTATTTATTACTTTTTATCTTGATGAAATTCACCTATATACATACATAAAAAAGAAAAGAAAAATACTGAAAGAGCACCAAAGTGCTTCTTATAATTTACTTTGGAGTAAGCTACATATAATTTTTTCCATTTATTCAACTTTAATTTATATATTTAAATGCATCATATATTTATTTACATTATTTTCCAAGGAACATATTTCAAAATCTATRCATCTAAGATTCTTCAATGTAAATACCTCACTCCCTTTCAAAGGTTAATACATTAAAACTTGGGCTTAGAAAGGGTATAACTCAGATGATAAGAAGACAAATTTAATGTACTGTCTAGTTACAAAAGATTGACCACACAGTCAAAAGTTTAACTTTTTATTAATAATTAATATTCCTGGGGACAAATTCTTCTCTCAATCTTATAAAAAAATCAGACACAGGCAGTTGTTATATAAACTGAATTCTGCTGTTATTTTCTCATAAATTCTAAAAATGATACTGCAAATCTCTTTATTGATACTATAATCAGAGTTAGTCAATTTTCCTACAAAAATGTCCCTACATTGATGGATCATTTGAAATACTGTGATCATTTATATAATTGAAAAGCAAAGCACTTGATACTCATTGACTGATATTGATCATATTTTTACTAAAGTATTTGTTTGAAATTTGACTAAATTACAGTCAATAAAACAAATAACAGGCCTCCAAAGTCCAATGTAATATAATTTTAATATCATTTCAAGTAATGATACAAGTATCTTCTATCACCATGACAGCTTAAAAATATTATTTTACTTTTAACTTTCAAAGTAACCATTAGTTTAGGTACTTACACTATAAAGGTCTTTTGTTTCTTCTTTCATTTTAGGGATCTCCAGAAGTAGAGCCCAGACTTCACCTCGGAGCTGGAGTGGGATTCCTTTGTAAATTCTCCTATGAAACTTATTAAAAGAAAAAGAAACTAGAAGTTTCAAACGGACTAAAACTTAGAATAGTCCCTTCAATCAATCCAGGTTATGTTTGTCTTTTATTTTCAGAGTATCCATGACAATTAATTAATACATTTTAATCAGTTGATAGATTTAAATTGTCAACTCCCTTTTTTTAGACACAGAAGGAAAGAATAAACAAGAAAGCATCAAGAATGCTCAGTATATTACATTAGTATGTTCATACTATTATCAAAGTGTCCTTCAAAAGGCACAAAAGCATAGTCAATGCTCTCTGGTAAGCCAGGAACATATTACTGACATTCCCTGTTACACACTTTGATCYCTTCTCCCCATTCACCTAGAAAGTGCTCCAAATAGCAAAAARGTTGCCTTGTGCTAAATGTGTCTTCACAGTGTGCCGAGAATACTGTGTAACACCTAATCTCTTTGCTACCATCTTCTCTCCGGGGCCTCTAGAACAGATCAAACTCCTTGCCATCTACCTCATACCTCACTTAGTTCCCTCTCTTTCTTCCTCCCACCCCGACCCACCCCACACACTCCCTTTCTTCCCTCCTTTATCTTTTCACTTATTGATATTTCTTCAGGAAAACCTTTAACATTGAACCTATCTGATTAGACAAATATAGTGAAAAATCCCCAACAAAGAAAACATGACTTTTTAATGAAATTAGACAGTACTCATCAGTATCATTAACTCTTTGGGTCCTTGAAAAGTACACGATTGCCCTAAGAATCTTAAAATTCAGTATACTTCTCCACCTTCTGGTAATGACATTTCCCCCYCAAGTCTAATTATCAAAATAACATGCAAACTTACTATGGCCCATTACAATGTGGTCACTCCATGCCTGATACAGTGGCTCTCATCCTAAGACTATACTTGAGACAACAGAGGAAGAACTAATTCTATGTATGAGAATTGGGAAAGATTTCCTTTAGAAAAAATGACAAAGATACATATAAATGTGCCTGAAATGGGAAATGAAGTTGGGAACRGGAGAGAAGATAATGATGAATCAAATGGTGTCTTTAACATTTATAATAATAATTACTCTAACATTTTCTGGCTGTCTATTKTAAGCCCAGATTATGCTTTATTTCTAAGTAAATTTTGTCCTTATAGTATGTCTCTAAAGAAGTTAGTATTATTATCATAACCATTTTACAAATGAGAAAACTAAGATGTGGAAAAGTTACTAGCTCAAAGTAAACTGTGTCATAAGAATTCAAATTCAGTAAGTCTGACTTCAGAACCCAGTCTCAACAACTAAAATACAGAACCTCTACATATTGGATTTTAACAATAACTTAATACTTAAATTTGAAAGGTACCACTTTTAAAATTCTTTTACAAATTTGTGGATTTCATACACAAAATCTTTTTTTAAAAAAAGTTGCCTGAAATTTGCCTTTCATTTCTACTATATTTGTTCATTTGCCCCCAGAAGTAAGCAGTCTACTTTAGTTTTGCCAATGTTTAAAATCTACCAACTTTAAAAAAATAAAAATAAAAAACAAAGATTCCATTAAATGACTGTTTTCAATGCCTCTTTTTTAAACTTAGTGCCCTCAAAACAATGTGTTAATCCATATCACTTTGCCTTCCAGTTAGTAAACTTTTCAACCCAGAAAGCCTGGCTCTATTTTGTGGAACTTTCAGAACTTCAAGTACATAACATGAAACAGAAGTGCTCTGTGCACTGCTGATGCTCTGTAGTGCCTCCCCATTTCCTCAGCTCCCGTCTCTGCCTTCCAATGGCAGCAGTCTCCCAAATCTGGACATGAAACTACTGAACCATACATAGGGCCCTACTAACTGTGATCTATTTCCTTCTGACCTTTCATTGACAAACCAAAAGGAAAGGCTAGYATAATAGGTGGAACCATTAAGTGAGTTGCAGTCTGGATGTTGCTAACAAGTCAAGTGACCTTGGAGAATTTATTTTTGAACAATGGATCTATTTTCTGCTCAGTAAAATAAGATGTTGGCTAACATGGTCTCAAAGAGACATTCAGTTATCTGACCAAAAAAGAAAGATGTGTATCTGTTGTAGGTACATTGCTGTGACAGAACTTAGACATAATGATGTCAYGGCCACTTAAACCATAATGGTCTTTAAGCAGAAATAACTTCATTTAATAAACTATATTTTTAAAATACAATACTACTGTCCACAGGGAGATAGCCTCTGTGAGAATACATAGGCAACACATCCTAAAGGAAATTTTTAAAATTAAAACTCCAAATACTCTCTACCACAGCTGTATTTTTATTTCAAAATATTTTTAGAACTTCTCTGTATTATTGCTATGAAAGTAAGGAATTTGTGGAGAGAAAACATACTTTCTTCCATTGGAAGAGATGAAAAAAAATACATGCTACTTTTTACTTCAATGCAATAAAATAAGGTATGAATTGAAAGCAGTAATTCTTTTAGAAGGTACAATCTGCTTCACACCAAATTGGACCATATATGTCATCAAATGATGCTAACATTATAGTTATGGGAGAGTGCTTTAAAATTATACATCAAAGAAATACTTCTGTTAAAATCTCTTTTAATGGAAACTACATTAGCCAGAGTTGCTGTCAGAATAATAGCCTAGTAGAATTGCTCATTTTTACAGAGACTTACATATTTTCATAGATATATGTATACTAGAAGAGAACATAAGGCCATATAATTCTACAAACATTTTATTAGACTGAATRCGAGATGAAAGTGGAAGTGCAACGCATGGAAATTTATCCTGTAATTGCCAATTGAGCAATCTTTCCAAGAAGACATAAGGTAAAGTAGTTGTCAACTCTGGGCTAATCTGAGAGACAGCATACTATTAAACAAGAGCACAGGTATTGTACCTAATCGTCCACTTTGAACTGATTTCTCTTAAAAATACCCTGAGTTCCAAAACCAATGCCAAAATAGACAGTTAAAATCAACAACCCAAAATSAATTCACTCTTGAGTAAAATAATAGAAGAGTCCAACTGACTTTAAAATAAGAATATTTAGGTTTCTCAAAAAGAAAAATAATATTAGCCCTGTGAGATACCTGTTCCAAAAAGATCTGCATGGTTAAATAAAGTTTCACATAATTTAAGGTCACTCTAAAAAATTCACTGCACTATACATATATCAAAGATTAAGGAGTCTTTTAGCAAACGCACCTAGCTTAACTTTGGYTCTGATTTCCCCAACTCTAAGCAGAGAGCCCTTTTCTTATTTAATAGACAACACTTGCAGACTACGCACYGTCAAGCACTACTAGTCTATGTGCTTATTTACTAAATTAACTTACTTAATCCTCACAACAACTATATGAGATAGGTACAATTATTATTGCCATGTTACAGATGAATACACTACAGCAGAAAATGGTTAAATACCTTCCCCAAGGTCATGAAGCTGGTAAGTGGCAGAGCTAGAGTTTGAACCAGGATGGGATGACTCCAACTCCTCTTCCCCTTGAGGCTTTACTGCTTCTATGTAATACCTATTAGAACCCAGGGAACTGATGCTGTGGAATTCTTGCTGGCAAGTGCTGACATACAATAATTTAAATCTATACAAAAAGAGTGTGTGTGTGTGTGTGTGGGGGGGGGGTTATATAGAAAAAAAGTGTGAGGAAATAAAAAATCCTAACAACTCAGTTGTGTTTTTACTATAGGATTCCGGAAGATTTCTTATTTTTCCTTTAAAAAATTTTTATTGTCTAACCCTCTTTCAAAAAACTACTAACAAGGGGCTGGGGATGTGGCTCAAGCGGTAGYGCGCTTGCCTGGCACGCACAGGATGCTGGGTTCGATCCTCAGAACCACATAAAAATAAAATAAAGATGTTGTGTCCACTGAAAACTAAAAAATAAATATTAAAAAATTCTCTCTCTCTCTCTCTTAAAAAAAAAACCTACTATCAGTATTAACACTTACTGCATGCTTCCTACAGCAATGTAGGAAGCAATGCTATGTGCTTCCCATTAAATCTTCATCCTTTTGAAATGAGTACTACTATCTCCATTTCACAGATGAAGAAATTGAGGCTTAGATGACAGTGGTTTGCAAAGTATGTACTATGAGGTCCAAACTATTTTCAGAATATGATTAAAACCAAACTTTCCATTTTCACTGTGTTGACTTTTGCTCTGAGGGCAGAAAAGCAAGGAAGAGAAAACCACTATACCTCGGCCCAAATCAGGGCAGCAACAGTGCTGTGCTAGGAACCACTGTGTTCTTCTCTCAGTTTAAAAAAAAATCAGTTTCACTTAAGGATACCGTTGATGAAGTAGTAAAAATGTGACTGAATCTTGAGTTCATGTCTTACTGACATGCCAAGTGACAAAGTGGGAAATGAATATGGCACTTGCTGCACACATCGTTACCTAAGGAAAAAGCTGTTGTGAAACTGTATATGTAACAATTTGAACCTACTTCTTTTTTTCATAGAACACCATTATTACTTGAAAAAACAAATGACTAACCWTAACTATATGGTTGTTCAGATTTGATGTGGTATTTTTGCAGACATTTTCTCAAAATAAATGAGACTGTCACTTGAAGGAAAATAACTAACACTGTCTTGTTTCACTGATCACATATGACCTTTCAAGTAAAAATTAGAACTCTGAAAAACTTCTACCACCAAGAACTTGGCACCTTCCCACTATTTAAAGACTTTTCCAACAGACTGGTAGTGATATTAACAGATGTGTGTGTTTCTTTAATTGGTTTAAAATTTGGCACAAATTCACTGCAGAGCAAAAAGATTTAAGGGGAGGTTTGCKAGAAGCTTTTGGAAGAGGAGACTGCTACTGCAGCAAAGAAAATATTCTGAGGTTAGCCCTGAGCAGTGTGACATGGGGATATGAAGCAACTGCTACTGTGATTCTGACCTTAAAGGGAAGCCAACCTCAAGAGGAAGCAGACACTGCAGAAGGCAGAGAGGAGATGGAAGAAGCTAAGTCAATGGGACCATAATTGAGCAGCTGAAATCACTCCTAAAACCCACCCAACACAGCCTCTTAACTGGTGAAACCAATCTTGAGTTGGGTATTGTGTTACTTACAACATAGAGACTACTAAGATAAGGCATTCTATCAAGTTAAATGAAATTTTCAAAAGTGAATATGAATGCAACACTCATAATTGAAGAAAAGTTCTTATTGTGAAATCCACATTGAATACATACAGTTTCACATGGAAATAACATGAYTTAAAGTTACCTTTTCAGTGTTCTTGTATTTTTCCCATCCTTTTAGCATTTTCAGCCATTTGGTAGTTCTTTCAATTTCCAGGTTCTTTTGCTAAAATAAAGTTAAAATTCATTGTGAATTCATTGTTACTCTTTGTTGGAGTTTTTTGTTTTGTTTCTGCTTACAAATTACAAAAAGAAATTGCTACAAAAATATTGCTAAAAAATATTGTACTCTATTAGAGAGCAAATATCCTATCTTAACTTGGCCTAAGTTGTAAGTTGGATAATATCTGAGTTGTATAAGTAGTATTCTGTGGCTAAAGAGTAAAAAAGGAATGCTCCAAGACAAGAAATGAAACTGCTTATATTTTCCAACACTTTAAGGCTAATCCCATAAGGCTACTTTTTTTGAAAAAAAAAAAAAGAAAGAAAATTTAAAAATATCTTTCCTGAGGCTATGAAATCACAGCTTCCAAATCTAATTCCCTTATTTCTCATTCTTCCATATTCTAGCATATTAATGTTTTCAATGGCAATTGATTTTTTTAAGGAACTATTTATTTATTTACTTTTAGTGTGATTAATTTATAAATAGCACTARGCTAGAGAAAAATTATACAAATCTGTCACAGTTGCTGCCTTATGGGGGATTCACTTCACACTAGAGGGAACAGACAAGGAAAGACACAGTGCTCTGACAGGTGCTCTGATATAGAGGCAGGGAGGGTAACAGTAAGGTCACACAGAAGGAGCACTCAAGTCCACCCAGAGGGTGTCAGAGAAAATGAGAAATATATGAATAACTGAATGACTGGGATTTTTAGGAAGTGCAATGCAGGAAAAGAATATTCTAGGCAGACGGGGAAATGTATATTTCCAAGCTGATTCAGCACCCTAGGGATTAGTCCCAAAAGGCTTAAAGAAAGGAAATATCAGGAGATGAGGCTTCCAAAGTAGGCAAGGGTCTTGTGTATGTTACATGAAATTGAAATGAGAGATGAAGTGGRGAATGGACAGGTGAGACAGAAAATGCTTGCTCCTCACTTCTTTGGTTTCCAGAAGAAAGATTTTTTTCCCCCTAAAAACTCAGGCCTGAGAGAGTAATAAGTTGTACGAATAAAAAGCAATGGAAATAGAAGAGTATGCAGGAAAGGGAATAGTTTTGAGGATGCATCTTATGCTCCTTACAACCCACTAAAGTGGGTGTGGTCATCTCCATTTCATGATAAAGAAAATGAGGCACAAAGGGATTAAGGAACAGGCCTCATTAAGGTTAGAAGAGGAGTTCAGAGGCATCTTGGCTTGAGGACCTGCATTCTTAGGGGCCACATCTTCCACCTCTGGTTTCTATTCTTCTCTGATGTACCGAGGCAATTGCAGCTCCTGGATAAAGACARCGACTCCTTTCTGACTGGCTTCAATCCAGCCTCAAACAAGGAGGCATTATATGTTGGCAGATGGCATAAACCCACTGCCAATATTTTTAGATCTAAAAGAACCCCAGAGAAAATCTTGAATTTAGGAAATTCTCACCAATGAGAATATTTACATTATTTTTAGCTATATTCTTAAAACTCAATTACTTTTTTTTTAACCCCCTGGTGGCGCTGGGGATTGAACTGAGGGCCTTGCACATGCTAGGCAAGCATTCTACCACCAAATTATACTCCCAGTTCCACTTTTTAACTCTTTTACATTCACTTATAAATTTTTTCATAATAAAATAGTGCTTGTGAGCAAAAATAGTCTGTTAGAATTTTTATTTTTCAAAAGGTTAAGCATAGTCTTTATTATATTATTAGTGATAAAATGTTACAGATGGTTCCAGAAATATGTTTAATTTTAAAACTCAGTGGGGTACTGAAATCTAATTAATGTTTCTGCTAAATGTGACTTTAGAGATGGCCAAGCTGTGAAAAACTGAGATTGGTCTAAGTTGCCATTTGGTATTTTTTTTGTTCTTCTACACTTCCTCTCCTGACTTCTTCAAAGCATAATCCCTTTTCCCACCAACTGAAAAATACCAAGTAATTTAAGCCAACCCAAGAGTCTAATAACATACACTTTGCCAGGAACAACTCTGCTGAGTTCTAGCAGATCTCTTACTATCTTTCATTTTTATGACTATGAATTATCAACAAATCATTTTAGGATGTAGTCATTCTTTTTTTAAAGAGACACTTTTGTATTCTAATGTTTATCATATATATATATATACACACACACACACACATAGATTATTTTAAATGTTATACAAGGACAAAACAGACACTCTAATTTTTAAGAATCATTAAATATGTTTTTCTTTCCCGACATCAGGAAAGAAAGAAAGAAAGAAAGAAAGAAAGAAAGAAAGAAAGAAAGAAAGAAAGAAAGAAAGAAAGAACGAACGAACGAACGAACGAACGAACGGATAAAAGTTATACCTTGGAGAAGCTCCCAGGTTGTAGAACTTTAAAATTATGTATCAGTAGATCAATCAAGTTTAAATGTTAAACTCCATAATTCTGTCAGTTCAGCTATACCAGACTTCAATGCAACACAAGTCTTTCCCCTCCTACTCATGAATCTGTAATTTATGGATAAAATATACTTTTTCACCAATACATGCTGAAGCTAATTATTCTAAATAATTATTTTGAAGTGTGAAATAATTGAAAATGTGATAAATGTGAACTTAAGTGCTCTAGAAAAACAGGCTAAGAAACATCAACTTGCTCATCAACAACACAGAGATGAAACTAGAATATACAGATTATCAGAACTTCCACCCAGAAGTTCAACAGATATTTTAAACTCAACATATCCAAAAAGATTTCCCCAAACATTTTGCCATTACCCTCTGTTTCCTGACATGAATTAATAATATCTCTAAGTACCATGTCAATCAAATTGGAATCTCAAAGTTGTTTTGAGTTTTCCACACCCAAATAATACTTTGCTGGTCCCACCTGTCTCTTTTCCATTCTCTCCTCTCCTCATACAAGTAATCATAGCTCTGGGAAGAATACAATGGCTCCTTACTGACATTCCTGTCTTCAGTTCAGCCTCCACAACTTTTAAACGTGTCTACTTTAAAATCTTTCAAAGGCAACTCATAATCCACAAATAAAGTTCAAACTCAACACAGCATACCTGATGGCCCTTAACAATAAGGCCTGACTAACCTTCCAGATTCACTTGGCAGCTAACTGTTATGATCTGGCTATTCTAAATTATTTGTCATTCCCAAAACATGCTGCATTTTCATGCCTCTTAGACCATTTGGTATACTTCTGACTATGATGCTCTTCCTTTCCTCATTTGGCAAAATCCTATGTATTCTCTCCAGATGCAGGTCAAATGCCCAAGGTCTGGAACTTCTCCAAATATACCCATGTCTCAAGCAAGATTAACTGTTCCCTCAGCATCCATACCATAGATTAAGGACCCAGCTGGCCTAGATTCAAATCTGAGCTATGTCTATTATTTTCACTTCGGGCAAATTATTTAATTCTTCTGTACCTTAGTTGTCTCATCTACAAAATGAAAATTATTATTATTGTTGTTTCAGCACTCAATACTTCATGTTCTAGCTTCCCAAAGATCCAAATCACATTATTAATATTAAAATATGAACTCCTTGACACAGGGACCACATCATATGTTCATCTTTTAATTTCCTCACCTAAAGCAATGATTGTTAGAAAAGAAAACTTATATAGACATTTTTAAAGAAAATAAAAGTTACATAAGAAAAGACAACTGAATAGAACTGATTGTTAGCATTCTGTAGTCCCAAGGTGGAAGGGTGGGAAGGAGAATGAATCTAAATAGATAAAAAATCAGAATGTTACTTTTGATTGTTTGATCATTTAATACAGCCTGATTGTTATAATATAGGAATAACCAGGGTAAATTRTAAATCTCTCTATAGCATGATAGTGGAGATGGTATCCTTCCATTACTTTAGCAACACTTTTCAAAATTCTGCCCAAAGGCAGCAAAATACAAAATTGAAAATTGATTCTGTTGCTTTCATGTATAAACATCTTACTTTTCTCAATTTTCCTTTTGAAATATTTCAAACCTGCAAAAAAAACTGGAAGAATAGCACATTGTATACTTGTATGTACCTTACCCTAGATCTACGAATTATTAATCTTTTGCCAGATTTAATTTATTTCCATAGTTTGGGTGTTTATTTATTTATTTATTTATTTATTTATTTTTTGGGTAGCTGATCCATTAAAAAAACTCTACATATTTCCAAGTATATATCACTTAAGAACAAAAGCACATTATATTAATCACAGTACCATTATTATACCCAAGAAAATTTAAAATTGATTCATCATTACTTCATAAAGAATCATATACCAAATACCCTACATGTATTCCCCAATTTTGTAGGGTTKGGGGGGAGTACCAGGGATTGAACTTAGGGGCACCCAACCACTGAGCCACATCCCTAGTCCTATTTTGAATACTATTCAGAGACAGAGTCTCACTGAGTTGCTTAGCGCCTCTCATTTGCTGAGGCTGGCTTTGAACTCACAATCCTCCTGCCTCAACTTCCCAAGCCACTGGGATTATAGATATGTGCCATGGTATCCAGTCTTATTCAATGTTTTATAATTCATTATCATATGTTTTGAAGCTTTAATTGTCTCATATTTGGCAGACTGCCTCCTATATGATCAGAAATCTCTCCCCTTCAAAGACCTATATTACAAATTAAGACCTATATGCCAAATGTGCTCATTACTGCAATTTTTAAAACTGTATAGGAGATTGTAGCATGAGAAAATTCCACTTCCCTTCAAAATGTCAGAAAACAAACAGCCAAGGGAAAATAATGCAGAGGGCTTAATGTTGGTTGATTTTCCCCCTTTGTTAGCTCTCCACTACCCCTACTGGCAAAGAAATAGTACACCATTGTGTACTTTACTTCCAAGGGCTGTTTTCAGAGGAAAGACTAAACTTCTGCTTTAAGTTTATGATAACCTACTGTCTTAAGTTAATGTTGCCTCCAAGTCAGAATTGGCCTCTCCTATTAGGCTAAGGAGGGTATAAGGATTAAAACTGAACTCATGATCATCCTTGTTACCTCTCATCCTTCAGTGATCTGAGACAATATTTTTAATTGTATAGGTCCATCTGAACAGCTTGCTCCTAAATCTCCTGCCACTAACAAAAGTTAAACATACACAATCCATAGATGATTGTTAAACAGCCTTCTTTTTAAGAATAAGACACCTTAGAACTTTGCTTAAATTCAAGTGTTCATATGCTTTTATTCTACTTGAATATTAGTGTGATATTGTGACACAATGAGAAATACATTTTTGGTTTCTACTCCCCTGTTTCTGCTTCTAATATCCCTGGGATTCCCTGAGTAACAGGAGAATCTATTATTCTAATGATGTGACTCTTAGTGGGCTCCTGRATAAATTCCACATTCTATCCCCTAAAAACAGGAGAGAAGCTAGTGATTGAATGAACAATCAATCATACTTATATCATAAAACATCCATAAAAATCCCTGAACTTTGGAGCGCTTCCAGGCTGATGAACTCTTGGAGGGTTGCATACCCAAAAAGGGTATCTCTACCTTGTCCTATGCATCTTCCATTTGGCTATTGAGTTGTTTCCTTTTAAAATAAATAAATGAGTAATAATAAGTAAACATGCTTTCATGAGTTCTGTGGGCAATTATAGCTAATGATCAAACCAGAGGAGTAGGTCATGGGGACCTCTTATTTACAGCCCATAATTCAGAAGTACAGGTGACAACCTGGGGCTTTTGATTTGTGCCTGACATCAGAAACATTCTTCTGAGACTGAGTCTTAACCTGTGAGGTTTATGCTAACTCTAGTTATTGCCAAAATTGAGTTAAATACTGCACTACATGAAGAAATTGCTGAATCTATAAAAATCCAATCAGTATCTACTAAGAACTGCTTAGTGTTTGGAGAAAAAATCAAATACATCTTGGTAACTGCATTTTTTTAAGATCCATGAAATGAGAGAATAGTTAAAAAGAAAAAAAAAAACAACAACTGTTTTCCCCCATCTCTTACCATTAATCTGTTTTCAACTAATACAATTAAGACAATGAATGAAGATGAAGTTGACAGGAATCATCCATGCCTAGATCTCACCAGCAGAGGTCAGGAGAGGACAAGAAGTACAAGAAGGAATGGGTCTGTTTTTACAGAACATTTTGAAAATGGCAAGCCCATTAGTTATGTATTTTGAGTAAGGTTTCAAACCATGTAAACTTAAGGTATCATTTTTTAAGAAATAATGGGCTCCAATACTGTATTCATCAGGCAAAATACTGCACTATATGAAAAAATTGCTGAATCTATAAAATAAATTCATAGTTTTATATAAACTCTCCTTATTAAAAACATTAATAAGCTCAAAGAAATAATATGATCCATTATTAATATTGTTCTCTGCAGATTAAATATAATAAGTGTGTTTGTTTATTTGCTTAATTGCCTGTTTGGGGGGACCCAAAACACTTGGTAAATACCAGCATTAATCCTCTTATGAGGAAGGATCACTATCCCAATTCTAAATGGAGAGCTACCTCRTGTAAAATAATACATCTGCAAAGCTAGAACTAAAGCCATGATCACTTGATCACACACCAGCATGTCAGTATTCCCAAATCACAGGAAGCATATATGCTTCAAGGGTATGCTTTGTAACAACTAGAGCCTTCAGCAAGGCTATTTTCTTCACTGACTGTATTCAATTAAAAAGTAAAAGGAAAATTTTTATTAGTTTCCTAGAAGTGGAGAGCATGGCAACTAGATCTAGGCACTCGCTGTACAATACATGAATTTAAAACAGAAAAACTGGGGGGAAATCTGACAAACTAAAAAGTTTCTAGCTTTAGACTGCTTTGCATAAGTCTAAGTATTCATTCCACTTTAAAGAAGCCAAAACTATACAAGTAGGAGGTCATGCAGTGTAAGTGTGGTTGATGTATGAAAGGCCTTCTAGAACCTTAATCAATAGCCTCAAARTCCTGCCCCAATAAAAATTTGACAAATAAGGATAAAATTACATCTTAYTTTAAAATAAATTATTAAGGTATGCATAATCCCTTTTTACTGATGAGTGACTCATTATATTAAATTCATTAGAAACAACCAATTAATTATAAGCCTAATAGCACTGGATAGGGGGTCATCTGTTGTACGGTCTTTAATAAAAATTGAAATTTCCCAAAGGCAGAAACTGTTTTTCCCAAAGGCAGAAACTGTTTTATTTGATCTTAGAATTCTATGCAGTAGCTAGTCTAGTGCAAGACAAATAATTGCTACTCAAAAATGCAGCTATTAAAAGAAAGAAGTCCCTTTGCCAAAGCATCTAGGTTATGATACTGAGAGAGAACCAGAGAGTCTTTCAACTGCAGGAAGTGACTGTAGGGCTCTCTACACATGTACATGGCAGTTTTGCCTACATCTTAAGCTTTTGCTATAGTTTTGATTTTCAGAAAATTTTGGTATTAGGAAGATTTTCTAAAATGTTTTTCATATTACAATACCAGTCTCAGCAGTCCTTTTCCCTCACTGGWTATACACAAACAGACAACAATCACAAATGACACCTTCACTTTCATTCTACAATTCATTTTTGAGATCAGAAAAAAATGGCAAAGGAGAAAGGAAACTCTGAGCACTCTTASAATATTCAGTCCCTACTTCTCACACTCATGAAGAAAACCAGCTCCTTGCTAAGTAGATGGAGGAAAGGTTTAAAAAAGAAAAGGCAGGGGCGGGGGGGGGGGAGTAGGGAAAAAAAAGGCTGACATGTTTACTATGTAACACTTGCCTAAGTCCTAAAAGTGTGAAGATACTTACTTGAACATATAAAATGGTTTTTTGCTGTTATTTATAGGAAATTTATTGGGTCTCCTGAAACAGTTGTTTTCCAAAGAGCTACTGGTCTTGAGAATCACTGTGAAGCTATTTAAAAGTTGTCTGCCCAGGGTCCTTCCCCAGAGAGGCTGGTTTCACAGACTAAGGTAAGGCCTAGGTGAGATCGCAGCCTCCCATACTAGAATTCAAGTAATTTCCAGTAACAGCTCTCTTTCCTTATTTCCAAGTATGTTTCAGAATCTCACAGACCCTCCTAAAATTATTTCATCATTAATTTAATTCCCTTCTAAGCATGACATAATTAGTGTTAAATTTTAACAATGATTGTACCATATAATATGGCACTCAAAATAACCAAGGTGGTTCATTCAATAAAGGCAATTCATCAGTAACTACAAATAAATGGACTTACCCGTTCCACAGCTGCATTATGAAATGGGAGCTCCTCCTCACTGCAGAGAATAACATATGTGAAATAGTTGAAATCAGAGCAGACTTTTAAAAATTATTTATGTACAATGATGTACARTATTTTTTGCCACCACGAGAGTTATATAAGCTTCCATTCCACTGAATTTAACAGAAAACAACTGCTTTTCTGTAACCACAATGTCCTTATCTTATTTCTAGATCCGCCCTGTCCAATTCAGTAGCTACATGTAGCTATTTAAGTGTAATTTAAAATTCAATAAAATTCAGCATTATTCAGTCTCATTAACTATGTAGCTAGAGGCTGCCATACTGAACATTTCCTTCACTGCAGAAAGTTCTACTKGATGATGCTGCTCTAGAACCAGGAGTCGGCAAACTTCTTCTGTCAAGGTAAATACTTAAATAGTAAATATATTTGGCTTTGTGGATCATACAATCTTTTCGTAACTATTCAACTCTTGAGACAATAGTGCAAAAGCAGCCATAGATAACATGTTGACTGACTGTGGCATTGTTCCCACAAAAAATTTTATAAAATCAGGAAGTGAGCTTAATTTGGCACACAAGTCGGTCTATCAGCCTTTACTCTAGAGTCCAACTAAGGTGTATAATAATTGACTGTTTCAAAAATTAGCATAGTGTTGAGGATGTAGCTTAGTGGTAGAGGGCTTGCCTAGCATGCACAAGGACCTGGGTTCAAAGGCCAGTACCACAAAAATAAAAACAAACGAATAAAAATTATCATAAAGAAAAAAAGCTTCTAGGGGATTTGTGAATGAAAAAGAAAACTTTCACTTTCATTCTATACAATAAAAAAAGCAATTCACTGTTAAAACTTTAAGAGATGATTTTTTAAAAAATACACTCTGTTGTCATGTATTTAAAAAAATAATAATAGAAAAAGAATTCATTTACATCTATATGTGTAATCCGAATTGTAATGCATTCTATTGTCATATATAACAAATTAAAATTWAAAATYTTTTTTAAAAACAAAGAAAAAATACAAAACCAATCAAATTAATTTCTTTGGCATAGAACTTGTGTAATACTAGAATTCTAATATAAAATAATCTGAGACCTTTACATTAACAGTCAGTAGTATAGAAACAATGTATTATCCATAAACTAAGTAATGTGCTTTCAGTGGCTTTCAAAGTAGTACTGATGTTTCAGCAACAACATGTACATAGTTTTCCCTAAAACTAAACAGTACCACTTTGAGGAGCATGACAGATCAGTATTAATAAGTTCAGTGATTCCAAAGACACTCTGGCTACTTTGCAAAGTCCTTATTTGAACCCTTAAGCCACAGAAATGGAACTGACAAGAAAAAATGTAATAGCCAAAAGAGATCTTAAAGAGTCCAAATCCCTCACTTCACAGATAAGAAAACCAACATTTTCATTTAGTTWTTTAACCTAACATAGCAATGCTCAGCACTATCTAATCCAGTGGATGCAAATGGAGCTCTTTAGCTAGCACAAGAACACAGGAAGAAAAGGGATGGAGGGTGAGAAAGCAATTCTGAGGAAGAAAAGAAACTTCTGAGGTTTAAAATTAAAAGCCTTCAAGATGGATAAGACAGCAAGAATGTTAGTTCAGTTTCCCTATGCAGTTTTTTTGCATTATTTCTTATCTCTAAAACTCTTCATAAAGAATCTGCTATGTGCACACACACTGCTCTCCACAAAACCTTGCACTCCTACCTCTGTGTTGGCAGATGGTAATGTGTACAGTCTTCCAAGGAGCTTCCTGGCCTCATCAAGACCTCTGTGCCATGTCCAGAAGACACTTGGCATGCTGAGGTCAATGTTGGTGAATGACTGTGTGGACAGAAAGATGAATGCGTACCTACGTGCGTGGATACATCTTTACCTTGCCACACAAATATCCTTCACGCAGAAAAGAGGAAGGACCGCATCTGGGTGAATACAGAGTATTTCTTTACATCAGCAAACTACAGCCCATGGGTCAAGTCTGGCCCATTGCTAGTTTTGTAAATAATGTTTTAATGGCTATGCTCATTGATTTGGGCGTTGTCTATGTGTGTTTTCATGCTACAGTAATAGATAGAATAGTTGTGACAAAGACCATATGGCCCCCACAGAGCCAAAAACATTCAGTATTGACTCTTTACAGAAAATGTTTGACAACCCCTGTTTTAGGGAATAAGGGCTTAAGGGCACTTAAAAGTTGTTTTTTAAGTAAAATAACAATATTTCCTCATGGAAATACAATAACTAAAAACAATGACATAGTCATCAGGGGAAAGAGAGAGATTTTAACTGGATATAGTTTTCATCCACTATTAAACTTGAAATGTATTACTAATTAGAGTATGTGTGCTTATGATTTCTCAACAGTTCAGAGAGAATACTTCTGTCACTGAGATAAACGTTCATTTGGAAATTTGAAACTTAATTTGTTAAGATCAATAAGCTTAATACATTACCTAAATTTAATTTTTGGTTTTGAAATAAGTTTTACCTAGCTAGTCAGAATGCACAGGATCAGTAGAAAGAGTTCTCAAGCTCTTGTAAGCAAAAACAGATAATCTTTAAAAACAAAAACACCTTTATTTTGGTTCTCATATGTTTATTCAGTTCTGGTAAACTACAGTCCATCTGCTAAATTCCATAATATACAAATTTGATAAGTAACTGAACACCTGATGCTTGCTATTAATTTATCTTTTTTATTTTTGATATAATTTCCTTTTAATTCATCTACTAATAACTTATGACCCAAAAGAATTATTTCTCATTATCCAAATACCAGGCATTCTTTGTTGAGCGGACTAGCAGTTTTTGATTAGCATGTTTAAAGTTTTCCAACTTCTTCAATAAGCTTGATTTCTCCATCCACCAGCTGTAACCCCATCACAGGCACAGACTGGAGATGACACCCTATTCCGAAAACTAAACAAAAATGTTGCTGTTCCAACATGGGATTTGGCAGCAGCTTTAATATTTATTGTGAAATCCTCTGTGAAACCAAAGTATACTATATTTGTTAATCACTGCTCCTCCTTCACATATCATAACAAGTAATTTAAGTTTCCAAAACTATAATTATATTTGAATTCAGCTGCCTTCAGAGAAGACAACAATTTCAACATTTTTTTTTGTCATTTTATTGTATTGACGTTGAACTTAAAACCCAATTTCATTGCAGAACCAATCAAAAATTACAAATAACAGAAAGAAAAGCTCTTTCAATCAAGGTGGGACAGGGAGTAATATCTAAATGCTCACATCAGGTGACTTATTCAACAGTGCAAAAAAACTCCAGTCTACAGGGACATGCAACAAAAGCCACCAGCAGCAATCTCTGAAGAACGTGTTTTACTAAAATAAAGCATTGTGACAAAAATCAATGACTTTGGTGAAATTTAATAAAGCCTAACATTACACTCAAATCCATTTCTATGCTTCATTATTTTCATTTGTGCTACCTGCTTTCAGGCTGCTTCATGGAATAAATTAGGAAAAAAATTAGTATGACAGTGTGACAACTGGCAACTGGTTCATCTTCTAATAAGTGTTGAACTTGGCTATCTTAGCATCTATCTTGACAGACATGATCATTTCTAACAGTATCTTCATTAGACATTCTTCCTCTCACCCATCATCCATCCTTTCAATTTTTTTTCTAGGCATTTCATAGAACTTATTCTATATTTCTCTTATTAAAAATACAAGAAGGATGTAGCCAGTATTATACTACTGTAGTGCAAAACACATCCTCTGTGGTGAGACTGCCCAGATCCACCCCCCAAACCTGACATTGGGCAAATTATTTGACCTCTTCCTGCTTCAGTTTTGCTATATAAAAACAGGGAGATTTAAAAAAGCACCTACCTTGAAGACTATTTGAGAGGAATAAGTAAGTTAATTCATGTAAAGGTCTTAGAACACACTAAGTATTCATGAATATTAACTAGCATTACTAACCTAAGTTATTGACTTTTTTCCAACTAGAAGCCAAATGAACCTCAGCACAGAGTGAAAAAAAATTTAAATTAATTGTTTCTAAGACCAAATTCATGTTTTTCCAGCAAAAAGAAGAAAATTTAGGTAATTAAGAGACCACTTTGGAATGCACAAATTTTTCTTATGGACTTCATACTATATTGGACCATTTTATGATAAAAACATTATTACTGTGGTTCAGTCCCATCAGAAATATCTAGGAAAGTCAAAAACAACTGAGCTGTATCCTATTTTCTGAATCAAAATCTAGTATAGAACCCCAAATGTTTTTTATTTGTTTAATTTTTCTACCTAATTCTTATTTGCACACAAATCTGAGACCTATAGACTTTAACAGTCTTAATGCTCAAATTAGGACTTCAAAACTTCATTTACATGAGGGAACTACATACTGACCCACAAGAATGTGTAATCATTCCCTGTAACATTCGTGGTCAAGTTTGATTTAAAAGACAGGAGAGGTTAAGAACTGTATTAAATAYTGCTCTGCTAGTCCAATGAAATTCAAAGTCTTTTGATTATAATACCTTGGGAAAAAGTTTCAGATGTGTAATGTCTAGTATTTTTCCAGAACTTAATAAAGCATTCTTACATTTTATTTCTTCAAAGGCTCAATACTCTTAAGGTACACAAAGCAATTACTGATTCTTGTTTTCAGGTAAAATGGTTTATAGTTTACTGACCAGGGACCAGCAAAGCCACAAAAAGCACACAGAGATATTCCTAGCTTTTCCCTATGTACAATAAACAAAACTGGAAGAGTAAATTTGAATGAAAAGTCRGTTAATTCTTAAATTGTATGTAACAAATGTATAGAGATGAACAGAAGTCTCTAACCTATGGGAAGCTGACTCAACAATACCAGAATCATAACAAGCAGATTCACATCATCTTGTGGGATGTTTTTTAAGAGTCAAAATTCACTTTCACTGTTTTATTGTAGTGGTCTAGGTTTCTCTTAACTCTTTCTTTATATAATATACTCACGATAAATGGGATTAATTTTGAGAAGCAATATCATGAATACATTTATAGTAGGGAAGATGAATGGCGTTTCTTTTCATTGCTCATTTTTAAGCTACATAACCCTAATGTTCTAATTGCCAATTATTTTTAAAATGCATTTATATGAAATTAAATATTTCRTAATTATTCTAGAAATATAATTGTTATCCATGTATGTTTAATTCTGATAAATTATTAATACAACTCATTTATTGCATTTAATATTCTTACCAAAACCCCCAAAATATTAAACTCTATTCTTAACTATATAGTTCAATTTAAATCAAAAGGTTAAAATTCCAGGAATTTAGTATCAAAAAGTATATTGTCAGACCATTGCTGGAATTATATTCATAGAAATTCTATTAAAAATAAAAAAACAATAGGTGACCATAGAAACATTAAAATATAAAACATTAGCTTTCAATCTATGTGACTTACTGTAAAAAGCCAAATCTATCCGTGACTTTGTAAACAAGGTAATCAGCATCTTCCCAAGGTTCAATATCTGCACCTTCTCGTCCCTAAAACAACGGACAAAGGAATTTATAAAACTGAATAACTTTTTTAGAAAGATCCAAAATCAAGAACAYTTTTTTAAACCTAACTCTTTGGGGCAATATGCTAGTAATAGTTGTAAGCTATGAAGACACTGTGTGTCACAGAGCAGCTGACAAGCAGCCGAGCCTGATGAGACTGACCTCCTGAGGGAAGCTGATGAAGCTGGAGCAGCAAAGAGGCTAAGAAAGCCACCCAGGAGGAAWTGCCAAACTTCACAAGTTTTACAGTGAATATGTCTTAGAAAACTCATTTTCTTGTCTTTCTCCAAATTTGTCAAAAGAACAGGTTATGTACTTTGTCTCTCTACTGCTTTGCTTCACAACTACATTAGCTCTGAAATGACTCTTGCCACAGTCAACTCTTGCTCTTCCAATTGTGAGACCCAGTGGACACTCTTTAGTCCTTACCTAATGAAATGTGGGACAAATTGGTCAGTGTGGCTCGCTCTCTCCTCCCCTCTTCCATGACACTATGCCCTGGAAGTTCTCCATAGGCCTCTCCAACTCCTCCTCTGATGGTTTTTCATGAATGACTTAACTGCTGATATGCCCAGACTTCTGTCCTAAGCCCACTGCCCATTTACTTTTAGGTTGATAATTAGTCACATATGACTATCCATACCAATCCCTCAAATTTTAGATTCAAACATGCAACTATCTTGTGGACATCTCCATCTGAATATGTTTTATAATGTTTGCTCATATTCTTTGAGTAGACTACGAGCATCTTGTGGGCAAGGACTGACGAAACTCATTTCTGTGTTATAACATGGAAGAATCCCCAGTCTTGTGTTAATTATGTGTTGGGCGRGGGGAGGAACATGGAAGTGTGAATGAATGAGAGTGCTTTTTATGAGTTTCACATTAGCTAAGCAGTTAAAAAGGTTAACTAGATTTTTCACAGACTATGCTAAAACCTAATCACAATAATGAGAAACTGTGTTCCAAACAACCAACTTAAAAATGAACTCTGAGAGGCTGGGGTATAGCTGGGTGGCAGAGCACCTTGCCACCCAGTTCAATCTCCAGTACCTCACCCCAACCCCAGATCCCCAAAACCCCAGCAAATTCTGGAAATTGTTAAGCTGAATATTGCCTATATGCCTCCCTGGAAGCAGGGCATGGTGTAGATGGCTTGTTATTCTCACAAATAATAAAAAATAAAAGCTATACAATTACATGCAAGCAATGCAAGTATTAAGTATGACATTTATAAATAATACTGCAATTCATAAACCTCAGAAGGGTAATAAATAAGAAGTGAAAATTATCAACAATTGTGATTTTCTAGGACATCAAAAATCAGATTCCACTGGACATAACTTTCCTGTGTTCATATGTGAATACACAGCCAGATAATGCCACACCATGACAACTACAAGAATGGTCTCCTAAGTAGAGTAAGTCATACTCTATGTATGTATAACATGCCAAAATACATTGTACATGTGTATCTAAAAAGAACGAATAAAAAATAAGTAAATAAAAATCAGATTCTATTCTAATGCAAAGACAAAATACTAATGAAAATTACCTATGAATGTATAAATACAAAATCTAAGGTCTACTGTAAATTCACAACAGCACACATAAATTATGAATACAATGGGTAAGTAACTATTTACTCAATTACTCAAGTACTTATTGAGTACCAAGAATGAGTMGGGAACTTTTCTGGGTATTTAGAGTACAAGAGCAAATCAAACAACAATAACAAAAATCTTCCCCTGAGAATTTACATTCTAGGAGAGAGAGGAAAAAACAAAGTAAAATATATAGAATGGTGATGTAATAAGTATTACAGTGAAAAATAAAGGGGATACAGTGTGCCAAGGGATAGAAAGGGGAGGGAATAAAAAGGGAGGTTTTTATTCCCTTTTTACTATCTGAGTAAAGACCTGAAAGAAAGGAGGCAAAGAGGCTTGAGAATATTCAGGATATAAATATTCCAGGCAGGGGAAATAACCAGTGCAAAGGCCCTGAGGCAGGATCAAGCTTTTTGTTTAAGGACAACAAGAGAACAGAGTGGCAAAAAGGAGGAAGAGAGAATTTGGAGATGAATTCAGAGAAAAAAAAAGATAAGCTCCAGGTTTTCATGAAGTAAACAAAATGYCTCTGTAATTTAAGCTTTCCAAAAGCAAATCCCTTTCTATTTATGTGATTTTTCTAATAAAACTTACTCATAGAGTAAATATGGATACTTACTCGGTCATATTTAGCAACTATTTCAGCTCGTTCCTGGGCAAGTTTCAGTGCTACATCCTGCTCCGAATCTGCAGAGATCAAATTTAGATGAAGTGTTATTTTAAGGATCACAAAGTTAGTTAATTATGAAACAAAACAAAACCAAAAATCAAACAAAAACTAAAACTGCCTGAAATGAAGTATCAAATAAACTTATAAAAATTAAGTATTCATAATACAACTTTAGAATATCAAYATATCTACCTTTTCAATATTATGAATGAAATTCAAAAGAAAGAAAATTTATTAACAGCATAAACATCAGGACAAATAAATCTAAGCCTTCAAGATTGGTTTTAGATCTAAAATTTCATGGAAGTAAAACTGAAACAGAAAGTTTTGTCTTCAGATGAAATCCACTTGGGCAGAAACTGAGACCTTCAAAAAAAGTGTTAAAAAGTGGCAGAAAAGGAGAAGACTATTCAAAAAGGGTTTTTAAAAGTAAGGTAATTTCTCCACAAAATAAACTAGTGTAAGATATATTTCAGGAGTTACTAAAAACTTTATATCACATGATGATGACATTGACATGTTCATTTAGCTTTTCAGGCCTGTAGATTAGTTAGTTGCCTCAGCTACAATAACAACCTCCTAGCTGATCACCAGGCCTCCAGCTCACAACATGCACACCCACAGCCTTCTTCCTTATTAAAGGCACAAATCTGACAACAAAAGCAGAGATCATAGCATGAAATAGTATGGATAAGATTATGTATCCCAAGTATCATAAATGAAAATAAAAGATCACAGACAGATTGTATAAATGGCATTTCCAATTAAGCAGCAAAGACAGCATTACAAAAGAAAACTGGGTGAAGGTCAAGAGCTAAAAATTCACAAGAGTAATTTGCAGAAGCAACAACTATGTTTGTGTTCTTACCAAGTGTCTGCTAGGAAGACACTGCCAGGCAGAAGACACTGCACTGAGCCCTTTACCATGCCTATCACATGTAATTCTCAGAATACTCTAAAGCAGGTATCACTAGTAATCCCCCTCCAAGGTTAAATGAGGTTTGAAGATTTCAAGATCATAAAGGTAGGAAAAATTAAACTAGGGTCAAAACTAGACAGTCTTGACTCCATAGCCCACAACTTCAACCACTACTTTATTACTAAAAACACTAAAAGGATTTCCAGCTAAAGACGGCAGATGGAACACACCTTTATATCCATTTCTCCTAAAAGCCTATTAAAATAACAACCATACTAAAATGAAACTCCCTCCCTCAAAGCACCAGAAAACTTTGGTTCCTGAAGAGAGGAAAGGGTAGGGTTAAAAACAAGGGAGTTGAGTAAAGGGAATCAAGTCCCTGAGAGTTGAAGGGATGGATATGTGTGGCCAGAGGAAGGTGCTAGGTAGAGGACCAAGCCCTTATTCTCCAAAGCAGGAAGCCAATAGATAATGCCAAAACTGAAGAGCAGGAAGTGGCAGGTCAGCGTGTTACCTAGAGCATGAAAGTGGTAGAGTGTGGTTACTCCTATGCAGTCGGCATTGAGGAGTATGGGAGTCAGCTGTTTCCAAAAAAGTCTTAAAAAGACTGCTAGATCTCTAAGCTAAGTAAAGCTCTGATAAAAATAAAATCTAAATTTAAAATAACAAGATATGGGAAAAATACACCTCATTAGTAACTGAAGAAGTATGTTTTAAAATATCACATTGCCTCTATCTCAGACTAACCAAACACTGCACTGATATTACTCAATGCTGACCAAGAGTGTGGGGGAATGTGCAGTTCCTTCATGAAATCTTTCTGGAAGGTAATTCAATAATAAGTCTCAGAAATCTTATCAGCAATCATATCCTTTACCCAATATTTCACCTCTAGGAATTCATGCCAACAAGACAATCAAATAAACACAAGGATGTTTATAATAGTAAAAATGGCAAAAATGAGAACTGGTAATTTTTAAAAGTTTTTTTGGGCAGTGTGTTTATGTTACTACTTATGTTACTACTAAAGACTGGTTAAATTTTTACAATGCACTAATGCAAACAAAAGTTTGAAATAATCAACATAACTAATAAATACATCTAAGTCTTCAAGGGTGGGGAAAACAACTGAATAAAAATTTAATTCAAACTAGGGAACTTGACTATTTATTAAACTCTATGTCAACTATCAGAGCCACTAAATATGGATTACTTTGGTGATAAGGCCAAATTCAATAGATGAATTTTTCTTGGAATGTGTTTTATGTCAGTCCTTTATTCCTGCTTCTAGTCCTAGGAGTCTCAAMTACATTTACAACACAACAATGAGAAGTTTACAAGTATAAAAGCAGGAACTGGAAATGGTATGGAGTTGGGGGAAATGCCAAGTGTCCAAAAAAGACTTCATTATGGCAAATTGCAAAATATAAGTATTCACAGGATTATCACCAGGCTAGAGAGTTTGAGAAAAGAAAACCTAATTATGTAATAGAGACCATACTGGAATTGGATGAAACTGCATCCTGACTTTCTGAGTRGAAGATCATATACTTTAACAGGCCCAGAACAGTTGATTCTAGTCAGGTAAATAAGTTCTAAATTTTTAAATCCCCTTAGAAATTTTTTATCCTTACATTTACCCATGGGAAGACATTTTTTGAAATATTAATGAATGTATGCTACAAAGAGAGAGTGGATTTAAAACAATACCAAATTTTAAAAAATACAGCCAAATCTGCTTCTTTTTAGGAAACTAAATAGAATGTCAATCTTTCCCAATAGTGAAGCTAGAGACATTGTTTAATAATCTACACTGAGAGGCAGTCATCTACAGAATAAGAAGTAGTATCCTTACACAGGGTTAACTATAGTTCAATAATGTTGTGATGGTCAGGTCTCTAGTTGAAAAGTTTATTAAGAATTATACTAGAATATTCCCTTTGGTTCATTCTGATTGCTTACTTAGAAATTCTATAAACAATACAAAGAACTTAAACCAAAACATTGGCCACAAAGACACCAATAGCTATCYTGTGTCTCTGTGCAAGTATGCACAAAGTTCCAGGCACCTACTAAACAATGACAGCTGTGTTCATTGGTACTTACATCACATGCCATTATCAAATAAAAATTTAATCAGGGCATTATGCCATTAACTTACATCATATCTTATATTCCTCCTGCATGATAAATTCATAATTAACAAGTTTATTTTGAAAAATTTGCTTTGAAGTAAAATAGTTTTTGTTGCCAAAACATTACAGTAATCAAAATTTTGTGCAATATGGTTGTTAGACTAAATATAGTTTTAAGAAACAGTTCCTATCATTAAAAGTAAAACTATGTGTGTGTGGGGGGGGATCACTCTCTTACTCTTTTTTTTGAGAGAGAGAGAGAGAATTTTTTAATATTTATTTTTTAGTTTTCGGTGGACACAACAATTTACCTGGTGCTGAGGATCGAACCCAGCGCCCCGTGCATGCCAGGCGAGAGCACTACCGCTTGAGCCACATCCCCAGCCCCCACTCTCTTACTCTTAAATATCACTCTCTTACTTCACCAAGTTGTTAGTTTAACACTCCTGGTATACAAGAAAATATCTTTGGGCACAAATCGATGGAAGAAAATCACAACTATACTATCTTAAGAAGCATTTTAAAAACTGACAACTATTGAGATTTTGAGACCTCTATTTCCATTTAAAACCCCTACTCAAAAAAAGCCTTTTAAGAATCAAGTATCTCCCTGAACTACATTCTTTAAAAATATAAAAGTTCATAAACTTTTGTGTTATAAATTTAATGTTATATCTAAATTCCTGTTTAATGTCACTAAATTAATTCCAAATTCAYACAAAGTTACTAAATTTAAAAAGTTTCAAATTCAATCCAACAAAACAAAATTGGTGGCAGACAGTTTTCTTAGTTTTCATTTGACAAATGAGTGCTATATATGAAACATAGTCAGTTTTAAAAATACTTTACCCTTTGTTGGATAATCAGTCTGTCCTTGGGAATTGACAGCTGCTTCAGTCCTCATAGAGTAACTTATCTATTCCAAGCTTTCATTATTATGTTACAGTTCTCAAACACACCAAGGGTGCCAGGTGGTACCTTACACATGCTGCACTAACTAAAACAAAAAATGAGAGGAAGGAGCTCACTTTAAACTACATKCGAAACAAGCAGAACAAAGTTTGAGATGCAGTCTGTCTTGTTCCAAGAGTGAAAAAAGACCTCACTGTGGTTACATGTACTGTAGATATCTGAACAAAGATGATATTTGTTGAGAGTGAAAACATGTCTTTCAGGCTAGATCTCAACTACAAGCCACACCAGCCTACACCCAGCATTCCATCTAATAAGCAATGGGGGTTTTAAACAAGAGGCTTCATAACTTCTTCCAATCTTGTGCTTCAAAATTAGCCATATTCTTAGTATTTTTAATAAAACCACAGAAGCAACAAAGAAAACTTTTATTTCAAACAGTAAACTCAAGTTAAATAGAAATGCTTTTCTCTTTAAATACAAACTTAAATATATTTCATATCTTAACATAATTTTAAAAATATTTTAGTTGTAGATGAACACAATATCTTTATTTTATTTATTTATTTTTATGTGGTGCTGAGGATCAAATCCAGTGCCTGACATGTGCAAGGCAAATGCTCTACCACTGAGCTACAACTCCAGCCCTCTTAATGTAATTTTTATTGTGAAAATTTCAGCTGGATTCAGACAGTAAACAAATACWTACTACAATAGGGGTCTGGACATTTTTAATACACCACATACCTACAGGTGAAAGGAAAGGTTCGTGAAAAAGTGTAAGTTCTACAGGATGACAATATGAACTTTTCTATTTTATGTATTCCTTTCTTCTTCTCATTGTTGCTTCCCTTAAATGAAAAGGGATTTATAATTTGTAAACCACTTTTCAAAAGTAACAGCCCTGTCAAATGCATGCCTTCAAAYATTAATTATACTTAACAGCACGCTAATGAATTAAGTTAATGCTCAGCTGAAACCAGTTGTAACATTCAGCAAAAGCAAAAGATCGCAGAAGCATACAGAAAGGAAAAATGTCAAGTCTTATGTG